TTTTTCTTTCTTCCCTGGTTTTGTTACAGAACGAAGAAGAAGAAGAAGAAGAAGAAGAAGGGAGAAGAAGAGAAGGGAGGAGGAGGAGGGAGGGGAGGGGGCCATAAAAACCGGTTGGAGGAGGAGGGGAGGCTGGGTAGATGACGGTGGTGCTGCAACGTCGGCGGGGCTGGGCAGACGACCGGGGTTGGGCGAGGCGACGGTCTGCTGCGCCGATCGGCGACGACCCACGGCGACGAGCCCTCTCCTCTCTCTTTCTCCCTCTCTCCTCCTCTTCCCTCTCTTTCTCCCCTCTTCTTCCATTTTCGAGCCGTTTCGAACTCGACCCTTTCGAGCTACGAGACATTTTCGTTTGAAAAAAGAAACACTAAAATATAACAATATTCATGCTAAATTATAACAATATTCTGACAAAATATTAATGCCTTGTTTGGAAATAGAATATTTTAGTAACTTTTTTATTTTTAATAAAAAGATGTGTAGAAAAGTTGGGAGAGTGATATGATAACTTAGGCTTGGTTTGGGAAGTGGGTTGACTTTTTGGCTTTTTGGTTTTTTTGACTATTTTAGCCTGGTCTAAAAAGCTTAGTTTGGGAAGAATTTTTTGACTTTTTGGCTTTTTTGGCTTTTTTTGTGAGAGAAGAGTGTAATGATTATGGGTTGGATGTGATGCTTTGTTTTTTATGGCTAAAATAACCTATTTTATCTTTTGTGGCTAAAATAGCCAAAAAACCCCCAACCCAACTTGCCAAACGGAGCCTTATAGTGACGTTTTGACTAAAATATTTAGTCTCTAAACAAGATCTACATTATACTTTTAAAATAAAAAAGAAAAGAAAAAAAAGACATTGAGTTGCTTTCACCCAAAAATAAAAATAAAATAAAATAACCCAACCAAACAAGTCATAACTTCTTTTGCTTTATTTTATTTTCATTTATTTTTTTTACTTATTTTTTTAACTACACAAATATAAGTTCTAAACATTGATTACCTATAAGATTATCGAAATAACCTCACTAGTTATCCTTTATACTAATCAAAACACTTGTGATTTAATTATTTTGATAGAAAAGGTATAAGAAAAAAAAATATATTTCCCATTTTATCACATTAAGGCCTCATTTGATAATTGATTAAAATAGTAAAAAAACAAAAAAATCAATACAAAAATTAACTTATTCTTTTTATTTTTATTTTTAATGTCTTTTCGTAAATAAAAAAAATTAAATTAAATTCTCAAAAAAGGAACCTTAACTTTTTCACATTTCACGCAAAGTGATAAAAAAAGTAGCGATATGCATGTGCACACATGGATAAACATATTGTGCCTCCATTGCTAAAACAGTGGGGGTACACATTACATAAAGGAAGCCGCATATGGCTTTACACAATCAGGAATCAACCTGTTAAAATAATAATAAAATTAAATTTTGATTAACAATTCAGATAATTGAAGGTGTTTAAAAAAAGAGATTTTTATTGATAAATTCATTCTAGAGTTGTTATAACCCATTAGGTCCACAAAAGAATATGATAACCTGATTAGTCCCATAAACTTTTATTTTTATTCCATAAGGTCCATTTTCCTAATTTAACATATTTTACTGGACTATTTTGCCCCCATATATATATATGTATGTGTACAGTGTTATACGCATTTACATAATATGTGGCTGTTTACGTGGCTGTTTCCTCGGTGATTCAGTTTGGCAGTTTCCATTTTACGTTTCTCTTCGTCAAGCCAATTCCAAGAGATACGTTTATGTTTTGCATACTCGTTCGAAGGATTGGTGGTGCTAGGGTTTCATTGTTGGTGTTCTAGTCTGGTTCTGGTTCTGTGGTTTGCGAGTGAAGATGACGAAGAGGTAGCTGTTCGGCTGTCACATTTTCCGAGCTTTAAGTAGTTCGAATCAGTTGTGTTCGACTTTCTGGAGGATTGTAGGATTGCATGGTTAAGGTTAGTATCAATTTGATTGTGAATAAATGTTCAGTTCATTTGTATGATGAAGCAGATGCTCTGTTTTTGGATTGATGTGAATTGGATGCGCTGGCTTTTCAATTATATGCTTCTTACGTCGTCATGTGGAGGGGAGTACATTCATATTATGTGAAGAACAGTGTTAGTTCTCATTTTAGTTAGTTGTATGCGTCATGAGGATCTGTGTATATGATTTGATTATCAGTATATATGGCAATGTGAATGTTGACATTTTGTTAATGTGGATTATGTGAAGAATGTGGATGTTCTCATTTTAAATTGATGTTTACTTAATGAGGCTCTGTGTGTGTGATATAATTCAGAGTGTATGTTTCAATGTAAATGTTCAGATTTTGTTAATATTATGTGAAGTTTGTTGGTGTTCTCATTTTTACTTTGATGTTTGCAATTTTGGCATCTTGTTAATATAAATGTGAATGTTCACATCTTCGTATTCTGAAGCATGGATTTAGCACTTCGGCTGTACGCGTTCTCATCCATTTTCTGCACAAAGTGAATTTTCATATTGATTTATATTAATGTTCATTGTTGTGGTTTTTGTGTTTTTATAGGAGATGGATACCTTTATGCTGTTGGTGTGTACATATGGTTGCAGTACAACTGTAATAAATGTTGCCCGCGCAATGTGTTATTCTCGTTTGGTGGAGTGCTCTTCTTATACCCAAACATGGAACTAATCCTTCAAATCTTTTAAACATCTAAGATGCATGTACAATTAGAGTATTGAGACTTGCAAAGTTTGTTCATGCATGCAAAAATTTGACTCAAATTCATGCATGGTATTCCAAAATCAAACCCAAAATAATTAATTCCTAAATTTACTCCATAACCATGAATCTAATTTAATTCCATCATCATCTTGCTAATACCCTTTTAATTACATGAAATTGAGCCAAACTCATCTTTAATTCCAAGTGTGATACAAGAATTCTACAAAAATCAAGGTTGAAATTTTATCCCCAAAATAAAATTAAAAAAAAAAAAAAAAAAAAAAAAAAAAAATGCTCATTGCATTCAAAGAAACTTAATCAGAAAATATTTATTAGGCTTAATCAAAAGATATTTATTAATCAAAACATGCTCAACAACCAAACATAAAATAATCAACAACCAAACAGAAAATATCAAACATATCTTCAAAGCATCTGTTCATCTCCAAATTAAAATTCAACAACGTCAAAAATTCAACAAAGAATGTTAGCAAGAGTATATTTATTAGGCTGTATCAAGAAATCACGCATCTGTAAAAACATTACAATGGCCTCACAAAAAATCCGATTCTTAGAATCCCAATCTCAAAATAACCAGCTATGAGAGAATTCCAAGAAACAGAATCTCTACAAATCATCTCACAATGCACTTGCGTTCCCAGTGCACTTGTGTTCCCATCCCTGCCAATCAAAGAAGAAACAAAGTTACATTTCCTTATTTAGGATTAATACTTGGTGAAGCTACACTCTCTAGTTCTCAATCTGAACAGCACAAAAACAGACAACAGACTATACATATAAAGAATAAAAGCAAAAACCTGTCTTCATGTGACTGCATGTGAGCACCATTGAAACTTCATATAAACAAACAAAAATTGGAACTTTCAACAGAATGTACCACTTACTTGAAGGAATGCAATCAATGTTGCTTCATCCTCTTCGCTAAAATTGAAACTTCATACCCTGCTCGTCCTCTACCTTTTGTAGACATACCTGTTTACATATGATTTCAAACTCAGCAGAAAATAAACCTAGAAAAAGAAAATGGAAACATACAACATATGATAAAAAAGCATGTCACTTAAAAGCTCTGAGCCCCACACAAAATACTGAATGACAGAATATTGAATATATAAGCTTAATCCCATCAATAGCCCATTGTACTGACCTGTATGTATAATTTACCATGCTTCTCTGATTTTTGTTTCTATCATGTCTATTGATACACCAGGGAAAAGCTTAAAACAAGGCCATTGAAATTTGTCTTGAAGCTTAATTTCAGTGATAGTTGTGGCTGTCAGTGTATCAGTATTGCGTTCCCAGTTAATTTTCAAGTAAGAGCCTGAAGCCTTCTGTATTTCTCAATGTTTTCGTTCTTTCCGTCTTAACTGCAAGTTAACACTAAATGATTTAACAATTTTGACAAGAGTGCAAAGATTAACTTCTAAATGCTCTGTTTTATCCTGCTTTACTTTACATATGATAAACCAATCGGATTAACAACAATAATCTTGAATTTTCTCAAATGATTTCAACATTTAAATTTCCTGTGTCATCATGAATACATATGATCTTTTGAATTAATAAATATCTCAAGTGACGCCAACAACATGGGAATCACGGCTTAACTCATTAGGATTTACATTGCTCCAGTTATCATTTCATTCTTGCAAAATAAATCATTTTCTAGCCTTTTCATGTCTGGCATCGATTTTCAATAACTATTTCTTGAAGGGCCAGAAGAAAAGAAAATCTAGGAAGAAAGAAACGGATTATAATTCACCAGTTGCCTTGTTTATGCTTTGCAAGCACCGTTGGACAATTTAAACCACGACAAGAATATCGTGATTCAGAAGCTTAGGGACGCAGCAATTCAAGATCAATGCTGTGGGTAGGTTTTAGTAGTGGAGAGAAAAATTTGCTCGTACCCAAAAAAGGAAACTATTGTATGTGCCATAGCTACAAACCTTATTGGGTATGGTGGTTCTTACCAATTTTTTCGGGTATCGTATCTAAAACCACTAGTTTTGAACTATAGTTGGACCCATGAAAATAAAGTAGTCAAACTCAGATGCTACAAGGAAGCATAATCAAATTTCTTGCATATAATTCAATAACATATAATAAAGCAGCTATGCAAAACTGAGCTAGGGTAAAGAATGATCTTGTGCAGCAGTGCTTACACACTTATCAACTGTTCTTATGTCGTGCAGAGATGATGATATCAACTTCATACCTGGTTGCTGGCCCTCAGATCCACCAGACAGAGAGAGTGCCTCCCTGAATGAGCTCCACAAAATCAGGAACCATATCTCAGAGATCATACCAAAAATTCAACAAATGCAAAACACAAACATTCTTAAATATGTTTCATGGAGGCCCAGAGCAATCAACAACAGCCAATCACCAAAACTTGGGCATTGCAACAATGAGAAACGCTACCAAAAAAAAAAAAATCATTACCAATGAGGGTAATGCCATGGAAGGAGGAAGATCAAAATAAATGCACGTTAAGATAGTGATAAAAGACACAGTAGCATGGAAAAATAGGATAATTGGCAGTGCAGAATCGCAAAACATGATTCATGGAAAGATTTTATTGAGCCGAGTCTAATAAGTTTCTCAAATTATTCATAACATACAAGCAATGCCGAAAATTCAAGACTACAAAGGTGCCACATGGAATTCAAGGCAAAACAAACGAGGAAAACAAGTTTATGTCCCCTATCAGATTAAAGTGTAAAGGAACAGATGTTGTGGTTCATCATGTCTTCTGTTTTCACAACAATCAAACAGAACATAAATAGATTTGTAGAAACAAACCTGGAAAATTATCCTGCTTTTCATAATTCAAGTGGCTTTGTTTGCAAGGATGCAGCCCTATCAGATCAGAACGGCATGATCTAAACAACTAGAGTATCCAATGAGCACCATCGGTTAAATTTCAACAAGACATGAGGAAAACAAGAAAATCAGAAGGGAGTCCATGATTCTCCAGCATCTATATCACTTATCAGCTAAACTGACAACTATAACCATGATTGCGTTAGTTGTCATCATAATCAATCTAAAACACCATATCCAAAAAAATGTCTGACTTTGAAGGAAAATTTTCATATAAATGGACTTTACACACAAAAAAAAAAAGAGCCAGTGAGCAACTTTTCAAAATACAGAAATGGATGGTGCAAAAAAATTATCAAACTCATGGAGTTTTATTCTTCTTCCTCTCTTCACTCTGTAATGTTGCTGATTTCATACACAAACACACACAGACCAAAAAAAAAAGCAGCTTGTTCTTTTCTTTTAACAAATTCAAACACAACATTAAGAAAATTCTTAACACTCATGTTGTTGAATGGATCCATATGCACCCATTTTTCTCACTCTGAATGCAACGAAAATGAAGTGCGGATTTAATGTTCTCCAATTGAAAATACCTAAAACATTTGCTAGAATAAAACTAATAGCTACCTGCCATTGCTAGTAAATTTAACAATGCAATCAATCGAATTGGCATCTACATTTCCAAACAAAAAATCAAGCAGATAAAGACCAAACAAAAAATCAAATTTCTAAGAAAGTGATGAAAGAATGAAATCCATGGACCGATTTGGCCGGATTTGAAATCCATATGTCATGTGATCAATCGAGTGGGGCGCAAGGATTGAAATATCAGATTTCAAATCTACTTCATTTGAAATCCTTAAGTTAAAAAACAGAGCATTAAACTATTTAACAAAGATTAAAAATGTACTCACATAATCATCAATTCATACATATTCTACAAAATTCTAATCAAATTTAGAATAAAATAAAATAAAAAAAAGCACAAAACAACAAAATTTATAAGAGCAACAAAATCAAATGTTCGAAATTGTATAATTTTCCAATAATTCAAACCTAAGGAATCCAATTCTTCAAGCAATAGCAAAAATACAAATCTACCACCAAAGCATCTCTGTTTTTTCCATAGATTTACTTCTGAGACATCCATTGCAACCTGTTTTTTCCATAGATGCTTGGTTATAAATACAAATTACATAATCTGTAAATAAACTGCTGTGAACTTGGGTTAAAATTACATAAAAGTGAGGAAGAAAAAAATTTCCTTGGCAAGTGATATAATTATCTAACCTTTAGCACCCAATACTCTGGATTTAGGAAGCTTGACTGCAATCAAAGGATTGAATATGCCTTGTGAATCAATTTTGAAAATATGCAATAAAAGCTTGGTAGTAGATAATATGGTATTCAGTAATTATATGAAGTATCTGAATGACAGTGCATTACAGATTACATTTAGGCTGGATTCTCTTCTTGTTACTGTGATTTCCTTAATATTATCTACAATTTACCACTCTTGATTAGATATTCAATTTGTTATAAGTATGCACAACTACCAAATCCATATTTCCAAAATTACAGAGCAAATACTAAAATACAAAACCACAACATCATTGATTTCGTTCACATTTTAACTCAAATGAGTAATCGACTATCATATCCACAATTACCGAATCCAACACTCACAAATACGCATTAAAAACGAATCATATTATGATGATATATAAGCATTTTCGAAGAACAAATGCAAACAACAGATCAAAAACCAAATTTATGAGATTGAAATCGCTGTCGAGAGATGAAATTGTCGTTGAGATCAGATTAAGGATTGAATCTTAGAAGCAATCAATAAAGAAATCCAGTGCCACTGAAGAGTTCATTCCGAGATAGAAAGAAATCAACAAATCCAGTGCATTCGCGAGATAGAAAGATAACAATCAACAAAGGATTGAATCTCCTAAGCAATCAACAAATCGATTAGTGAGATAGAAAGAAATCCAGTGCATTGCGAGAGAGAAAGAAAGGCTATTTCAGATTAGGGATTTGAGAGAGAGAGAGCAAAACCTACTATGATACAAAACCTGCTATTTCCCGACGGTTGAGTTCAAAGAATGAATATGTAAAATAAAATAACGTATGATTTGGGTTTAGGACCGATTAAAATTGTAGAGAAAAGTGTATGACATTTTTGCAACCAAATAGACTTGTCTCAAAAAGATAATAATATGAAATGTGTTTTTTGTAAATTTTTTTTATTTTGTTCTTAAAAATATGATTTTTGCAGACAAATTATTTTTATCCTTGAAAATTTATCTTTAAAACTCAAATTTGTTGGAGTGGCAAGCAATTACAATTCGCAACGAAAAAAAAAATAGCCACTACAATATATAAGGGTTTTAGAGATCAAATATTTTGGTCTTTAAAAGTAAAAATTTTGTTGTAAAAAACATTTAGGACAGATTCCTGAAAAGTAAAAAAGAAGGCTTTTAGTGACAAAATTTTGAAAATGTCACTAAAAATAGACTTTTAGGGACAATAATTTGGTCTCAAAATAGTTTATTTTTTAAGACAAAAAATATGGTCCAAAAAGGATAATGATTCAACACTAATGTCCAACGTTGCTAAAAATATAATAATCACATTTTTCGTAACAAAAATATTTAGTGCTAAAAAAATAATTTGTCCCTAGATTTTGTCCTGTAAAATCTTAATTTTTTATATTTTATAGTGATTGCAGTCTCATAAGATAAGGAAAGCCAAGATAGCACAAGCTTATAGCAATGATTAAACTAAAAAATGCAAAAACTAATAAGGAATTAAAAAATGCAGATACCAAAAATCTCAAATTATTTAAATTCAAGAAGTTATCACGTAATCTGTGAAGTAAATATTGTCAAGTGTTGCATCTAACATGAATTGTTAATATTGAATGTGTTTAGTTACTATTAGAATCACAATCCCAAGACTACAAAAGCCCAAGCTCCAACTAGAAAACAAAAAATAAAGATAGATAATGGTCACTACTCTAATACATCCAAGACAACAAGAGATTCTAAAAATTTCGTTTGATTTGTCACCGTCACCAAATAATCCTCTGGTGGCATGTTTAATTGGGTGGATTAGAACATGAAATTGAGATAATTAATACGTGAGTCTAATTATTTTATATTTATTTTAACATTTTAGTTTAGGATTATTAATTTAATGGATAATTAATTCAATAAATTTGTAAGATTATTAATAATGGGGTAGGGGTGAGATTATTAATCCAATGGATATTAATCCAATTGGATAATGAATACCACACTAATTTAATAGGATTATTAATACTTCACTATTAGTCTTGTGAATTAAACATGACCGGGGATCTCTTGGGAACCCATTAAAAAAGTCAATTTTTTAGCTTTTTAACTTTTTTAGCTAAAAAAAATCAATTTTTTTTTATTCAAAATAACCCAATTTTTTGTTAAAAAAGCCATCAAAAAAGTCAAAAAATTAAAAAAATTAACTTTTTACCAACTTCTCAAAACACCTCTCCATGTCACACAAATTCTAGATGTTTTCCCCCACCAAGGATCCTCTAAAGTAAAATTTTCCTAAAGTTTCCTAGAGTGCTACATTGTGTGGTTGAGATTTACTGGCAAGTCACATCAGAAAAATTGATGTGACTTGCCAATAAGAGAGAGATAAAATGCCCATGTGCATAGGTCTGCCATGTAGTAAAGGCTGGTTCCTCTCAAATTTGATCTTCTTCCAAGGGCCATCACGTAGAAATGTGAACTGGTCAGAAGAATAACCAGCATTGACAGGCAGTTGTTGGGATGGATTAGAATCAATTGTGATCTGTTCTGAACGCCAGAATGGCAAACCCAGGGATTGGTGTAACTGCTTAATGAATGATGCTTCCAAAGCATCAAGATATGAATTGTGTTTCTCATCCGTCCATGCCGTGCACGGTGCCACATTTGTATTCCGGTGAATGAAATCCTTGGAATGATCGACGGTTACAGAGGAAGACTCCAAGTTGGTCCGAGTCAACTCACTCCGGCGACCGTCCGGAGCGGCGAGATCTGGCGGCTCTGCCATGGCGTGTTCGGACAATGCAATAACAACCTCTAAATTTAGAGGAACAAGCCCTTGATTCAGCAGAGAGAAACCCTCGACTGGTTCTTCTTTCCTCTTGGTGTGAACAAGTTTTAGAGAGAGAGAGAGAGAGAGGCGGTCCATGAGGAGAGGGAAAGAAAGCTGCGGGCTACTCACTGGTAAATGTGGCAGCGGTATGTGTAGAGGTCCGGCGAAATAGATTGAGGTCCGGCGGGCGACCAAGGCGAGGTTGCCGCCCGCCGGTGAAGCGAAAAATAGTAAGTGCTTAACCTTGCTCTGATACCAAGTTGAAATTTATGTAATATTGATTGTTATTGATTGATTGATATTTTTAGTACAAATGTGAAAGGCTCCTTATATAGGAGATATAGGTGTAGTAGGTGAAGTGGAGGTGGTAGTGGTGTAGGTGAAGTGGGGTGGTAGTGGTGTAGTGGGTTAGGTTTAGTGGAGTAGGTGAGGTGGTAGTGGTGTAGGTGAAGGTAAATTCTAACAAAAACCAAATTTATGAGATTGAAATCGCTGTCGAGAGATGAAATTGTCGTTGAGATCAGATTAAGGATTGAATCTTAGAAGCAATCAATAAAGAAATCCAGTGCCACTGTAGAGTTCATTCCGAAAATAGAAAGAAATCAACAAATCCAGTGCATTCGCGAGATAGAAAGAAAACAATCAACAAAGGATTGAATCTCCTAAGCAATCAACAAATCGATTAGTGAGATAGAAAGAAATCCAGTGCATTGCGAGAGAGAAAGAAAGGCTATTTCAGATTAGGGATTTGAGAGAGAGAGAGAGAGCAAAACCCACTATGATACAAAACCTGCTATTTCCCGACTGTTGAGTTGAAAGAATGAATATATAAAATAAAATAACGTATGATTTGGGTTTAGGACCGACTAAAATTGTAGAGAAAAATAGACTTGTTTCAAAAAGACAATAATATTTTTTTTGAACAAGTAGGAACTACAAGCAGAGAATTAAAGATGAGCAGGAACATCATGGGAAAGAACATAAGCAAAGTCCTGTGGCACACATGTGACCCAACTAGTCGGAAGTGTTGATCTATAATGAGCAGTAGCCACCCAGTGAGCAGCAGAATTGTTTGTCCTTCGGGTCCACATGAACTTCCAAGCTCTGTCCCTTGCAAGACTTCGAATATCAGCCACAACTGCCATGATCTCCCATGGAGGGAGATTTGGATTTGTGAGTGGGATACGATTTTAACTTTTTAAATAGGCATTGACTGGTCAAATCCTGAAAAATCCATTAAAATATGGGATTTGAACACAATAATTATGGGTTGAGTAAACCTAACATACCTTATTTCTTTGAACAAGTAGGAACTACAAGCAGAGAATTAAAGATGAGCAGGAACATCATGGGAAAGAACATAAGCAAAGTCCTGTGGCACACATGTGACCCAACTAGCTGGAAGTGTTGATCTATAATGAGCAGTAGCCACCCAGTGAGCAGCAGAATTGTTTGTCCTTCGGGTCCACATGAACTTCCAAGCTCTGTCCCTTGCAAGACTTCGAATATCAGCCACAACTGCCATGATCTCCCATGGAGGGACTGTTTCGGACACACACACAATAATATGAAATGTGTATTTTTAAAATTTTTTTTATTTTGTCCTTACAAATATGATTTTTGCAGACAAGTTATTTTTATTCTTAAAAATTTATCTTTAAAACTCAAATTTGTTGGAGTGACAAGCAACTACAATCAGCAACCAACAAAAAAAAAATAGCCACTACAATATATAAGGGTTTTAGAGATCAAATATTTTGGTCTTTAAAAGTGAAAATTTTGTTACAAAAAATATTTAGGAACAGATTCCTGAAAAGTAAAAAAGAAGGTTTTTAGTGACAAAATTTTGAAAATGTCACTAAAAATAGACTTTTAGGGACAAAATAATTTGGTCTCAAAATAGTTTATTTTTTGAGACAAAAAATTTTGTCCCAAAAGGGTAATGATTCATCACTAATGTCCAACGTTGCTAAAAATATAATAACGACACTTTTCGCAACAAAAATATTTAGTGTCAAAAAAATAATTTATCCCTAAATTTTGTTCTGTAAAATCTTAATTTTTTTTATAATGAGTTGCAGTCTCATAAGATAAGGAAAGTCAAGATAGCACAAGCTTATAGCAATAATTAAACTAAAAAATGCAAAAACTAATAAGGAATTAAAAAATGCAGATACCAAAAATCTCAAATTATTTAAATTCAAGAAGTTATCACGTAATCTGTGAAGTAAATATCGTCAAGTGTTGCATCTAATATGAATTGTTAATATTGAATGTGTTTTTAGTTACTATTAGAATCATGATCCCAAGACTACAAAAGCCCAAGCTCCAACTAGAAAACAAAAAATAAAGATAATGGTCACTATTCTAATACATCCAAGACAACAAGAGATTCTAAAAATTTCGTTTGATTTGTCACTCTCACCAAATAATCCTCTGGGGGTCTCTTGGGAACACATTAAAAAAGTCAATTTTTTGACTTTTTAACTTTTTTAGCTAAAAAAATCAATTTTTTTTTTTTTATCTAAAACAACCCAATTTTTTTGTTAAAAAAGCCATTAAAAAAGTTAAAAAGTTAAAAAACTAATTTTTTACCAACTTCTCAAAACACCTCTCCATGTCACACAAATTCTAGATGTTTTTCCCAGTTTATTGATTCCTAATGAATCATCATGATTCAAAAATCCCGTCCACCTTTTTCCTAATCTACAGGTATATAAAATCTATCGGTATAATATTATTCGTGTTGATACTATGAATTAAAACTTGTCGACAAATTATATTTGAACTGGATTTGATTTGAAAATTTTAAATTTGTTAGCATGAAATCCGATCTTATAACTCGATATATTTCAATCAACACATCCAATATGTAATCAGATCAAATTAAACAATATCCGATTTAATCCAAAATTATTCTTTTGGTTGTTCTTCATGCTTCATGTAAATGATATGCATAATGTTAATGCTTTAATAAATTTAAAAATATAAATTAAATATATATATTAAATAAATAAATAAAATCGGATCAAATCAGATTTTTCAATCAGAGTATCCGGAGCATATTGGATTTGGGCCAAGCGGATTTAGAATGAATTGGATGCGACGAATTTTCTAATTGGTTTGGATTATAAATTTGCACAAATATATATAAAAAAATTCAATCGATACAAGAGTAATTACAAGAATAAGATATATATTATGTTATCAAAAAGATCATTAGCCTACAACGGTTCGAATTTTAACAAAGTCTACCTAATAACTAATTATTAAGTCCAACAACCATTACTAGTTGCATACTACAACCCCCATCCATCTAATTCTTCTCTATAAAAACTGAATTTACAATCTCACATCACAAAGGTATTACAAAATCACTAAGCCAAATAACTTGGTTTTAGATCCGATCCATTGAGAGCACTGTTTTTAAGAGTTAAATGAAGCATAAATATTACACTAAGACTTTGTTTGACATAATCAAAAAAAGTTAAAAAGTCGCTATCCTATATAAGTCACATCATCTTAATTAAGTCACATCATCTCTCCACCACATCACTTCAAATTCAACTTATACCTAACATATATTTCATAAAAAGTCAAAAAGTACACTTATTTAATTTATCCTAAACAACCCCTAAGTCGCAATCCAGAGGCAATAAGAAACTATCAACATCATCCCAGCCCAAGAGGTCCAAAAACATTTTTTGTTAGATAATGAAGGGTAAACCAACATCCCAAGGAAATAAGTGATATTTTGAGAAGATGGTAAAATAACTAAAATACCTTCACCCAACTTAAAAAAAATTATATTTTACGCAAACTCACAAAATATAAATATTGAGGGTAATTACGTATTTTTTCAACCTACTTTTTGACGCTTCTCAAATGAGCAAAAACGCAACTAGGCGTTTTGCTCAAAAACGCAACGCAGCGTTTCTCTTCCTTTCCCAAAAGAGCTTAAAAAATTCTTAAAATAATTACATATACTTAAAAACGTATAATATTTATGAAAAAAAAAATCTTAAAATAATGGGATCGATGATATGGGTGCATACATATCAATGGTGTGTATGGATACGGATACAAACGCGTTGATACAAAAAATTCTTAAAATAATGGGATCGATGATATGGGTGCATACATATCATGTATGTATGCGTAATTAAATAAAAATTATGAAATAAGCTTGTTTGATTCTGGTTTTTTGAAAATAGTTTTCAAAAAATTCTATTTTTTTTTATTTTCCGTATTTTATTATTTTCAATGAATTTTTTAATATTTTAAGTATTTTTTTAATTTTTAGACACACCTAACATAAATACACTTAAAACGTATAATATTTATGAAAAAAATCTTTAAAAAATATACTAAATATAAAAAAATAAAAATTTAGTATATTTTTCGTATTTTTGTATGTTTATTAAATTTTTAAAATATCTTTTCACAAATATTTTACTACTTAGATATATCTAAATAAGGTACATCTAAAAAAAGAAACAAAACTGCTTAAAATTTAAAAAATCATCACTAAAAACAAAATAATAGGAAATACAAAAAACTCAATTTTCAAAAAATTGAATTTAGAAAACTGAGTTTTTCTTAATTCAGTTTTTTAAAAATTGCGTTTTTTTATTTTTTGTATTTTTTTATTTTTAGTGAATATTTTTAAAATTTTAAGCATTTTTATTTTTATTTCTTTAGATACACCTTACCTAGATGTATCTAAAAAGTAAAATATTTGTGAAAAGTATTTTAAAAAATTAACAAATACACAAAAATACGAAAAATATATTGAATTTTTGCTTCTTTTTTTTTTCATTTTTGGTAATTATTATATTTTTTAAATATTTTTTCACAAATATTATATTTTTTAAATGTATTTATGTTAAGTGTATCTAAAAATTTTAAAGTTTTACTTAAAATATTAAAAAATTTCATTAAGAATATTAAAATACAAAAAATAAAAAAATAAAATTTTTTAAAAACTATTTTATGAAAAATAGAACCAAACAAGCAGATAATAAATACCCCGAATTTCAATTGTAAAAAACACAGGTCTTGTTTGGTTTGTGTTTATAAATTAGTTTTTGAGATAAAAAGTACGAAAATTTGTTTGGTTTATCTTTTTTCAGAAATAGTTTTGAAAAATTATTTTGGGGAGAGAGTTTTAAAAAAAGTGATTGATTTGATGTGTATGAGAAAGAGTGATTTTGAAAAGTAGGTAACCAAACAAAATTTTAAAATTTTATTTTGAAAAAAATTGTTTAATTTG